TAGTTTTCTCTTGTTCTTATCAAATATTCAGGAAGGCACAATATGGTACTCATCTATTTTTTTAAAAAATTTATTCAGACTTCATGGCGAAGAGCTCAAAATGAATTCTAAATACAGTCTGCATTCCCCAAACTCTATATATGTGAGTTAATATTCTGATTACTTTTATCTTTCAAAAAGCAGAAGCCCAAGATAGAACGGTGAGTTGAGTGCTCAGAGGACTGGTTAACCCAGAACCTTGCCCAGCACCAGCATCAGTGCTTGGTCTTACATCCCCAGCAGCGAATCCGGACTGGTGAGGCTGCAAGCCTCTCCGTTAAGGCAGGGAGCTGGAACTCTCTGGAGTCATGAGCCCCTTGGAGGCAGCTCATTTCCTCCCCCTTTCCCTCCCCTTCTCCCAGCAGTAAAGTCACAAGTCAAAGTTGAATTCTAATTGTTTTGGTGGTGGTAGAATCTCACCAACCCAAGACTGAGTCTTTTCTTCTCAAGAAAAGTATACTGCTTATCAGCTTTCGTCTGTTCATCATCCACTTTTGAAATCTAGATTTGGATGTAATTTTTACTAAGGGGGTGTTGACTGTTCCCTACAGTATCTCTCTCGTGGGCTCTTTGATGACCTCTTTTGGGGTTCTGCTCACGTGTGTTTCAAGGCGCCATCATGTAGTCATGTGGTTAAAGCAGACCACGCCTGCACCACCTTTGCCTGCCATTAAGTGACCTTGTATGTGGATCAAGGCTTTCCTTATTGTCTCAGTTTGTTCCTTACCCCCTTGAAATGGTCAGGAAACCTGTCAGCTGGCTCGGGAGAATGACTATCTTTAAAGTCCGTGAAGAACACTTGGTGAAAAGGAAAAAGTGCTCTGCCACCCACTTGTCTGAGTTCTGCTTTTTAAGTCTTTAATCACCCGCCAGAAGCCTGGCGGGCTACAGTCAATAGGATTGCAAAGAGTCAGACACGATTGAAGCAACTGAACACACACACACACACACACACACACACACACACATGCAATTCCATTCACCTGTTGTTTTAATACTTCAGGTAAATTCAGCTTAATCATGATTTTCCAACGTGGGGCGGGGTGCGGAAAGTAATCCTGACTTCTCCGTTGGATCTTTTCAAACATCCACTTGTAGCGGTGGGAGGAACTGAGGTAGGCAAGGCCCTGGGAGGCAGGCCTGTGTCTCCCCGCCCTGAGTCTGGCAGGCATTCAAATCACCGTACAAGATGCTGATGACTCAAGACTTAACAGGTCTAGGTCCCAGCCTTCATTATTTCCATTTTCATGATGGTTTACAGTATAAATCATGAATGACCACACTGATTAGGAGCTCTATAAAACCAAACAGATTGGGAGGTAGTGTAGAAGAGAGGTTGGTTAACTGCATAAATTTTACATTCCCAGAGACCTGGGTTAAGCTTCCAGATCTGTCATTTACTAGCTGTGTGACCTTGAGAAAGTCACTTGACTTCTCTGAGCTTCATATTTCTCACCTGTAAAAGATGAATTATGATAACTACCTATTTGAAGGTCAGTGTGAGGATGACATGAGATCATGTATCAAAGAGTTTAGCACAGTGTCTGTAACTACAGTTTATTGAATAACAAATGATGATAAGGGTGCTTTGATATGTGTTCCTAAATTAGATTATCTTATTGGTTATCTGTTACTTCTCTACAAAGCACTGCACTGAATATGGGGACCCTTCTCCCCAAATTTGAGCTCCTTCTTTCCTCGGAAACTTAATACCTCAATTGCTAGTTGAGAGACTGTATACAAACCCACACAAAACTAAACAAGCAGTTAGATACACCTTTTCCTGGAGTGCTGTCCATTCTCAGTGAAGTCAAGTGCACGTCTGGTGCGGACACTGACTTAAGTTACTGCCCCCGGGTCATACCTGAGCAGCCAGGGCAGTCTGTGAAATAAGAGTCCGCACTCACCTGACAAATATTCAGTGACATCTGCTTTGTGCCCGCACATGCTAGGTGATGGATAAATTAGTCTTCCTAGTGTTAAAGTAGCATTCAGGGTCTTTTTAATGTATTTCATATAAACTAACTCTTTTAACCCTTCAAAAACACTAGGAGGGAGGCACTCTCATTAGTCCCATTTTACGGATGAAGAAACTAAACACAAAGAAGTTAAACAACTTGTCTAAGGCCACAGAGGGAGTATGCAAGAGAGTGAAATCAGACCCAAGCAATGTGGTTCTAGGGTCTGTCCTCTGGACCCCCACACCTTCCTGCTTTCTGACAGCACTTGGTCATGTGAGCAGACCATTTCCTGCCTCGAGCTTGATTCGTTTACTCCTCTTTTCAAAGATGGATTCCCTGGGTGAGAGGATGGGGGCTCTGCTCTTTACTTTCAGCTTTGCACACTTCAGTAGGGCTGTAAAGTCCCTGTGTGCACTAGCTAGGCTCTCCACTGACCAAGACATATGTCATCAGTTATCATATTTAAGGCAATCTCCCGCTCTTTTGAATAAGAATTACAAAACACACTTTGTTGCATTCAAAATATCTATCTTGGCAGAGGTTTACTTCATAATCTAATAAAACAGATTTCTAACTTGAAGGCTATTACAGTCTTTGAAATATTATTTAAATTGTCCTAGACAGAAATTACTTATAAAATTGAACTGTCACTTTATAGCAGAATTAAAATTAATATGCTTTCTTGATTCCCGCACTTGGGCATAAATTCCCTTAAGTAAAATGCTCTGAAATTTGGAGGGCTAAAATCTGAACCCTTTTCTCTGTCCAGTCTTATGTCTCTTGTGGTAAAAGGCAAAACATACAAATCATCAGTAACAACCAGGATGAAGGAAGAGTGTTTACTCCCAGCCTAAGATCACTTTCTTTCCAAGTTCTTTAGCCACATTAGAAAAATCATTTGAACAAGAGAAAAAAAGAAAACCCACCTCATATATGCAAATGGAAAACACTGTAAAAGACAAACATGGCCACCCAGATAAGTCTCAGGACATAAATTTTTCTTAAAGGATGACTGCTGGCCTTCAGTTGCTCTTTCTAGAACCCAGACCATCTTGTACACACAGTAGACAGACCAGGTACTAAGTTTTGCCCACAGTTAGCAAATGGCATAGGAAGAACAAAACTGCTCCCTTGAAGTTGAAATCAAAGGGCCCTGGTGAGCAGCCCCTGTGTACATCGGAACCCGAGAGCACACACGTGTGTTAGAGGTGATCCAGGGAAAGAGGCACGCTTCCCAGGGGCTGTTTTAAACAATGACAGACTCCAAAATCCAAAAGTGATGTGTTGGAACATGAAACACACACACACACACACACACACACACACACACACTTGTGAAAAATACCCCCAAAGCCCCTCAAAGCCAAAGTTTAGAAGAACACGTGCCCTGGATACAGCAACAGCAATTTCAAAATCACTCCATTTATGACTCCATTCCTCACTCTTTGATCCTTTTGGCACACCACTTAGGAAATAACAGAGCAAGAGAAATATGAAGCTGAAGACAGAAAATGTAATTATAAAACAAAGCCACCCACCTTGCTTTCGGGGTCAGGAAGCACAATGGCCTTCTTTTGCAGCAAGAATGAACACAAGTGTGTTAAATGACTACAAGGATATTTAAAAGAAAAGGAAATGGTTCTTAAAAACAAAAAAAAAGCTGCAGTATCTGTCCTCATAGCAAGTCTTATCCCCCCAAAATCAAAATGAAATAAAAGCAGCATACTGTGGTCCTTTGGTACAAGGCAGGAAGCAGAGTCCTCAAGTGACTATTCCCCTCTTTTGCGAAACAAAACAAAAAGCAACAGTAAAAGGTGCGGTTTGCCAGAAGGGGTGGGGGGAGAGTTCCTTCAAACACCTCGAGGCCTCCTGGGGCTCTGCCCGTGCCTTCTCCCGGCGTGGGCTGGACAAGTCCTACGGATCACCCAGGGTCACCATCGGCTGCTTACATGCCACAAAAGTACACTTAGAAATGAGAAGAAAGTGACTGACACGAATATGCTGGGCCAGCCTCATTGCCACTAGAGCAGCCTTAAATGCCCACACAAGGAGAATAAAAAGAAAAGCACTATTGCAATAGAATAATTTTTTTTTCTTTATTGAGACCGCGGAAAGTCACATGACCCTGCATGTAGCCTTTTAGGAAAGCAACCGAAATGGTAAAGACAGACGCGGGGGCTGCCTCTCTCCTCCCGCCGCCCCTCAGCCCGTCCTGCATTCTTCTGGGCGCATCTGTGGAGCTATTAAGTGGGATAATCCCTCTGGCCTTTGATACATTTCTGGACATGATTATTTCATTACTCGCAGTATATCAGTAGGATCATAATAAAAAGGACTTCTGACAACCTGCCAAGAGTTTTGTGGCCTTGTAAACACAAAAGTGCTCTAATAAAATTTTATTAAGTGTTAAAAAGTCATAAAAAGTGAAATAACATAAACTACAAAATTTACTGTCCTCAGCAAATGCTGAAAATATCGTCCACAGTAAAATTAAATTAGCATGTAATAGACAGAGAAGCGGTGTGGAGTGGATTTAAAAGAGGATCCAGGGGAAATGACACTGTAACCCAATCTGGGTCACGGGGATTTAATTCGGATTCTTGTCCCTAAATGTGAATAAATGTGCTGATTACAGACAAGAGCTGCGGGGTTACTGGAGTCTCACACATTGTCAATACTTTGGAAGAAATAATATATTGCGGACTGTAATGAGCTCGGGGAGACGCGGCGAGTGTCGCGGGGGCCAGGTGAGGCGCAGGGCGGCCACTAGGGTGCGCTGCGAGACCGGGAATTCCCGCCGGGGCGCCCCCGCCGCCGCGCCGCCCGGAGCCGCAGGCTGGCAGCCCTCGCCCCCCTCGAACTCGAATTTACAGTTCTTTTTTTTTTTTTCCTCTCTTTCCCCATTCCCCTCTCTCCTGTGACATTTTCTCCAAATCGGAAAATGAAGTGTAAGCCGAGCTTTGCCACAGGCGGCCTTCGGTCTCCGCTTTCGGACTCGAGGTCCGCGAGTGGGATGCACTGTCCGCCGCGGGGCTAACCCCGGGGGACTGGGTGGGGCCCCCGGCGCCGCGGGCCGGGCTGGGCCTCTCCGTCGACCGAGGCCGAGCAGCGCGTGAGGCCCGCGTCCGGCTCCGCCCGGGGCGCGTGTGCGCTCGGAGCGGGGCAAGCGGCCTCGCGGCGGGTTCAAGTGCATCCCCGGAGTTGGAGCCCGCAGCGGTGGGAACGAGCTCTCCCTCGCGCAGCCCCCTCTCCGGAGTCCAGCGCGGCCCGCCGCCCCGGGGACCCCTCTCCGCGGCCCTCCCCGTCGGGCTGGCCGTCGGCCTGGGACAGGGACTCAGCCCCGGGCTCACGGCCACGGGCTCTCCAAGTCCAACGTGGAGACTCAGGCACGAAAAAGAAGTCCGACTTCCTCTCCACGCTGCTTCGAGTGGAATCTGGAATCAGCAGGAAATTGCTGGAGCACCCAGCCCGCGCCTTTGCAGTCAGCCCTCGCTCTGGTGAAGAGACGCAGCTCCCACCAAAGTCTTGCCTCCCCCTCCCCCCGAAAGCCCCGCGCAGGTTTGTAAAGAGGGGTGCGAGATCTGCAAAGGATTTTTCTTCCAGGAAGAAAGATGTCGGTGACGGCGCCCAATGAAAGATGGGTGCTTTTAAGCTAGAGGTAACCAACGGGCCACGTTTTGTAGTCCAAAAAGATGCAAACGCTGCCATCTGAGGAGTCAGTATCAGGAGTGTATTACTTATAAGTTGGCGAACCAGGAAGTAAATGGGCAGTGACACATTTCGGGGCATCATTTTTCTCAGGGTTGTTCAAGTTTTCAGCTGCATTTAAGAATAAGTTGCCTTTTGCAAGGAAGTAAATACTTTTAAGTAAACCACTTGCTAAAGCCCAGAAGAGGTAAGTTAAAGTTCCGCCTAAGATCCTTTAGTTTCCTGTCAAGGCTTGTGTGGGTTACGAGGAAGAGGATGCCTTGTATTTTTAATTTTCCAGATGGCAAGAGCATTTGATTTTTTGTGTGGCTAGGTAATGTCCAAGGCAAATGGAGGACCCGAGGATCTTTTGCTAAGCAGTGTTCACTTGACACTTCTAGCTTAAAATAACTATAATTAACTTACAGTGGGAATTATGGTCCATGTTTTGGATTTTTGTTCTTAAGTTATCTGAAGTGTTCTTTAACAGTTTTTTAAACAACCCTGGTTTTTTTTGTGTCATTTGCAAAGCATTTGAAGTCTGGCCTGGAGCATGGAGTTAAAAATCAAAACAATTTAAATGTGGTTTGACATTTGCTGTCAAAGACTTTGAGAACTAATAAAAACAGAATTTTTAAAAATGTATATAAATAATAAAATTTCTTTTTGACAACCGTGGCTGCTGGGGAGAAGGGACAGATGACATGGTGGTGACTTTGAGCCAGTCCCTGCAGGCAGCAGTTGTGAATGTGGTCAGTCAGTGCTTCTTCGAAAAATGAAGGACAAGAAGGTTTAAGGAGCAAATATAGAAACAAATATTTTACTGCATAGGATTTTCTCAAGAGTTCAGACTGAAAGTTTTGTATTTAAAATTTCACGATAAACATTTCTTCGTTGATTTATGAAATTCAAAAGGAAACTTTATACTTGAGTTATTTTGTTTCGTGTTCACATTTCAGACTGAAGTTCAGCTGTCCCTCAGAAAAAAGTATTTCCATAACTACTAAAAACATCAGGATTAGTATTTTTTTAACTCTCTTCAAGTAGGTATCACTGAAGTATTTTTTTTTTTAATTTAACTAAGATTAGCACAACCCTATTTAAGAGGTTTGGTTTATTCCAAAACTCTAAATGTATTCTAGAGAAAATTGTAATATCAAAGGTTTTTGTAAAGAAACTTGGGAATGAATACATTTTATATGACTATTAAAGCATGTTTTAAACCCTAACTATTCCCCCTTCCAAAGAAAAGTCAGAGTTTTCCATTCTATAGAAATACTATAATCAGGTATAAGAAAATTATTACTATAATAACAGTTCTGTCAAGATGATGGATACTTTTGAATGTATTATGAAGAAAAAAATATTTTTGGTTCTTCATGTGTTTGAGGTACTTGAAAAGGCAAGAAGTTTGTAAAAATATTTTACTATCAAAATATACAAGACCATTAAAACATGCAAGTAATTAGATTCTAAGTGACTGAGAAGAATTTTTTTCCAACAGCTTTTTTTCTTTTAAATTTTTATGTATTCTTGAATGATTGCCTTTCAACCATTCCAAGTATTTGTTATATTATCTATATAATAAAAATACAGTTGGCATGTGTTGCATTTTACTTTCTGCATGAATAGTTGAGAAATATTTTAATCTTCTTTTATATGTATATGGGATAAATTTGAACATGTGCCTTGTTGGAGTAAAAACCATCCCAAGTGCATTTTTCTCTCCAAAACTTGACATTGATCCTGATCTCTTAGTTTTTATGTGCACAAACTGTTATGGAAATCAATTTGGACATGCCGGTTTATAGGGAAATTTTAAGCTAGTGCAAGTTTAATATGAAAGAATATATATTAAGATATGAAATAACTACTAGCCAAAATTAAATCAGGAGGTATATTTGTATCATTTATTCGTTTAAATGAGTGAGCATTTGAAAGGTAGTTTTGTACTCAGGAAAGATTTCCTTATGCTCTGTATTTATAAATATCTAAATTATTCTCCCCTGCAACTTAAAAACTCAATAGCCAAATAACAAATTTATGTATTTTAAGGTGACTAAGGCTCAGGATATAAGAAGCAGATTGGCTTCATGAAAGAAAACAAGTATTTAAAATTGTACCTTAAAATACAAACTTGATTTCAGTTTCTGACAGAAATACTGTGGCCAGCTCATCAGTTTTCCAGATCATTTTTAAGGCAGCATGTAAAAACTACCTTTTCCACATTAGAAGTTCATATTTAAGTTTCCTTAACTGCAAAATCACTCTAAAACAGAGTGTTTTACGTTAAGGACCATTTCATGTGTTGGTCCCATTGATTACATATGAATGTATAAAAATCTTGTTTAAGAGACCAGTAAAAGTGAGGAAATTCCAAGTCAAGCTGGCTAATTCCATTCATAATTCATCCTGAGTGCCTGACTTAGGAAACTTGCACACAGTTTATAACTATACATACAAAATAAGTTGACTTGTTTGGTAAACAGGGAAGCAGAGTTAAATTTGACCTCCTTGCTCAGAAAGGCTTAAGTTGATACAACCATGGAATGTAGGTTAAGCTTTTTGTTTCCCGAGGAATTTTCCAATCTCAATCCTTTTTTGGATTTTTCACTTTTTGAAAACGTAAACACAGGACAACTTTTGTGTTCTGAGATGGGGCTGACTTTGACCCACCCGTTCCCTTCCTGCTCGCATATTTGTTCAGGAATTCTTCTCAGTGCTGGGGGAGCGCAGAGGCCCTGCCGTGAGAAAACCACGTTCACCGCATCTCTGTCCCCGTTAGCTATTCTAGGCCTTCTTTTTATTCTGAGCAAACTGGGCAAAAATTTAGTACTTATACTCACATGGTTCAAACTCCTAGATCCACAGCCCGAAGTACTTTTGGCAGTTGGCAAGAAGGCCACGTCTTTGCATTCTGAGCTGGGAAAACTACTGAAGAATCGCGTGCTTTGACATTGAGGAACTTCCAGTCTGTCTGTCAAACCTGAAACAATCCATCTGCTTGTTTTCCGAAGCTGCACTGCAGGGTGATGGCTTCCCTTAGTTTTGACGTTTAGGGAGATGTTAAAACGTTTTCATACAGTTTCTTAAACATGCTGAGTAATTTGTAATTTTAAACCAGGTGAATTTTAAGGGTGAAAACTGGCCCAGAGAGAGTCTTTACACAGTAACTTCAAACTGCTGTGAACTTTTAAAGTGACTTTTTAAAATAAGATCCTGAAAATGCGGGTTTCTGGTGGCTACTCAGAATAGGAATCCTCAGAACCAGTTAATATTCACCAAACACGCTTCATTAAACTGGAACAAACATGATGTTGAATTCCTAGCTCCCCATTTTCCTGAATGTAGGTCACTTTCTGTCCTTACAGTTTAACAATTGAAGGGATTTCCTGTCTTTGAAGTACAGCAGTTTGTCACTTGTTTGGATTAGCCTCTTTAAAAGTTGGGGCTCCCGTCCTACGTTGAAAGACCTAGTGACTCCATGTTCTCTGGCTAGAGTTTCCCGGCTCACTAAAGGCAGTGCTGCCTACCCATGTGGGACTTCGCTTTACAAGTTGGTGCCTACGGAGCCCACATTCCAGGTTGGAGCCTTCAAGAAAAGCCCAGAGTCATGCGCTCACCTGGGTGAAGCCAAAAAGAGGTAAGCTTTCATAATGAGGGGCTATATATCAAAATTCATAACTTTTGAGAACTGGAGTAACTTGTATTCAGGCATTAGAGTCTCATGCTAAAATGGAACATAACAAGTGAGGCCAAATGTGCCAGGTGGGTGAGACCCACCTAAGAAATGACCGACATTTAAATGTGCTTTTTAAAAATGTACTATTTGTATTTGTGTGTTTGGGCTTAGTTGCTCAGTTGTGTCTGACTCTTTGTGACCCTATGGACTATAGCCTGCCAGGCTCCTCTGTCCATAGGATTTCCCAGGCAAGATTACAGGAGTGGGTTGCTATTTCCTTCTCCAGGGAATCTTCCCTACCTGGGGATAGAACCCAGGTCTCCTGTGTCTGCAGCATTGCAGGAAGATTCTTTATGCTGAGCCTTTGGGGAAAGCCGCCCCCCTCCTTTTTTTAAGAATGCCCAATATTTCATCATCTCTTCTGATATGGGTCCTAGTAGACTAGATCCAATATTTCTAGTGAAAATGTGCCTATTTTATTAGAAAATGTCATTCACAAATGATCGATGCGTTAGGAGAGAGCAGTGAATTGCTTCTAGGAGCTGGAGCGATGCTTATTTTTGCCAATAAGGCAACAGGCTCCAGATCTGTTTGTGAACTACAGCACACCCTAGATGAAATACAGTGCAGTTTGTTGTTGTTCAGTCACTCAGTTGTGTCCAACTCTTTGTGACCCCCATGGACTGCTGCATGTCAGCCTTCCCTGTCCTTCACTATCTCCTGGAGTTTGCTCAAACTCATGTTGATTGAGTCTGTGATGCCAACCAACTATCTTGTCCTCTGTATACAATACAACAGGTGAATGCTATTTGCATATATTTACATGACTCTGCCTACCTTGAGCATATACACCAACTCATCATTGCCACGACTCAACTTATTCTTTGTTTACTAGAGCAGTTCCTTAATTGTTTGAAAGCCTGGGTGAGAATAAGGCATCTTCACAGTATCCCCCTGATACTGTGAACATTTTCTTCTTTTTTTAAAGTAAACCTTCAGAAGTTTAGGAATTGGAGGGCTTTCTCTTTGGAGAACTGGACTCATGTGTGCGTGAAATTAAGATATTCTGATAAGTGAAGGGAAGGAAGTTAAAAGAGATTTCAGTACTGTTCTGGTTTAAGTTTGCGATCAAATAAGGTCATGATCAAACAGAGAAGAAAGGAGGTAGAAACTGAGCAAGTCGAAGAAAGGGATGTGAGCTTAAATTCTGCATGATCGTTTCGTAATAAAGTGGAATGAAATTCTGATGACTCGGCATTTTCTTTTTGTGGCTATCACTTTGACCCATTTAACTTCTCTGGAAGAAATCATAATCATTGTAACTGAGCTGCCCTGCTGGGCTGTTTTCTGGCTAGTAGCATTGGAACCATCTGGGAAAAAATGTATCATCACCACAGAACATCCATCTGAAAGGGCATACCTCCGTGTCTCTCACAGAACAAGTAGCACTTGGTCCAGCCAAGGAGATAGATTCATTCATCTCTCTGGTTTTTGTAAGTGTTTCACTGATCATATTCCTGGTCCTTGCCCTAGGCAACTATTAGTATAAGCCGAGGATGTGTAGTATCAGAACAGATTCTCTAGCCACCAAATGAATAGTCTTGTCTTTAAGTCAAACACTTTTGCACCTTTCGTGTGGTTAAAATTAAAAATGTTCCAATTTTCCCTTGGTTACATCACAGATGCTAAGAGAACAAGACAGGTGGAAATAGGATACTGAACAGCTGAATATCTCTGCAAACTTGAGCACTTAAAACAGTTTGAAGTCACGCGGTGCTCTTTCTTTTTTTAATTGTCTTCAGTGAAACTCCAAAAACCCCATAATGTCTACCTTGAAAGCATCAGGAGTATTTTAATTGGGTAATAACCATCCATATTTTCCTTCTGATAAATTAAAAGGAATTAAGGATGAAATTTTATGATGATTATAAACTATTACTCACCCAAGGGACAAGAACAGTTATGAAAAATATGTCCTACATATTTGGCATGAATATGAATTTAGACTTTTAAACCCTTCATCTTAAATGCTCAAGAAACTTATTAAAGCTTATAAAATAATATTCACATAATGATAACAGGGTAACTTATGATTGATATTATATCATCAATATTACTGCAGGCTCCATGCCAAATAGTGAAGCTGACTTGGTATTTGCCTGTTGGGCTTATGATAAAAATAGATACACTATAAAAAAGATGAAAGATGATAATGGATTTTGTGTATCTGAGGCCCGTTTTGGTCAATGATTGTTTTAAAAATGCTTTTCATACAGATCACATCTCCTCTTCTCTTCTGCCTCGTGCTTCCTTTTCTTCTCTTGTTTTTTTTTTTTCCTTCCTTTCTCCTTCACATAAAATTATGAACCATTAGAAGGAAAAGTGCTTTCTGAAAACCATGAAAAAATAATGAATTTGACTTGTGACTACTAAAGTACTGGGAGTATTTACTGTTGTTTAGTTGCTAAGCCGTGTCTGACTCTTTGTGACCTCATGGACTGTAGCCCGCCAGGCTCCTCAGTCCATGGGATTTCCCAGGGAAGAATACTGGAGTGGGTTGTCATTTCCTTCTCCAGGGGATCTTCCTGATCCAGGGATCAAATCCACATCTCTTGCATTAGTAGGCAGATTCTTTACCACTGAGCCACCGAAGAAGCCCCAAGTAATGTGAATAGATCTGATCAAATCAAAACTTTATTATCTAGCAGCTGCGTGAGGACAAATTCAGCATACACGAATATGAATCCCCATCTGGGGCTAACCCATCAATGTTTAGACCAGCTTTGACCAAACCCAGGATGGGACTCTTCTTTGAGAGCAAGAGAGTATCTAACTTTGAGTCAGAGCTACTTACTGCCCTCATGATCAGTTTTGGATCATGACAAACTTTTTTTAACGTATTTAAGATGACTGGGGCAATTGCCAAATTTCCACAACATGGGGAAAAATGGGCATTCTAACTGGAGGGGCAGGCTGCCGTGTCCACATGTAACTTCAACCCAGCCCTGCAGAGCCTTAGAAGCTGCCATTCAGACATTTACTATATGTTAGTGTTAAGCCCTTTCAACTGTGTATTTAACTGTAAGTAGATTGTTCCACTGAAGCACTGGAACTTTCTGGCATGACTTGCCTCTGTTATGACTATATGGAATACCCAAAGACTGAGCCTCTCTATCCATGGGCTAGGGTTTTGCTCCCACTCCACTGTGTGACCTGTGGCAAGTTACTTAACTTGTCTGAGCGTTTGATTCCTCATTTATGGAATGAGGGCAGTCGTGCCTCTTCACAGCATTAGTTTGAGTATTGACTACTAATGAGTACTGAATGGCCTAATATTCATAGAGTATCTGGAACACAGTTTGCAGCGAATATCTGTTACTGAAGTTGCAAGGAAAACAAGATTAAATCTTTTATCTCACAGTTTTTCATTACCTAAAAATTTAGAGATCTTTCAAAAAGAGAGCCTTGAAATGCACATTTGTAATACTAGTGTCTTGTTTGCACCCAGAAATAGTCCTGAACTCAGATTTGAGATTTAATATCAGCCAAGCTTGCCTCCTCCTTTCACAACCTCCAGAAAAATATCTTTGCATAACGAAAAAATGAACTTAGTACTTTTCACTCCAATTGATCTTTACTAGACAAGTCAGGTCAAAAATTCACCAAAAGGCCCTGAAGTACACTATTTAAAGAAAATTTTTTTAAAAAATGAAAATGAGGGAAAACAATTTGCTACTTTATTTGGAGACTGGTAGGTAATATAAGAATAGCAGAACAGGTGGAGCTTTTTTCCTAATTTGTATTTAAAAAAATATTCTTCTGGGAAGTGGCTTTTATGTGCCTAGATTCATTCCATGGTTAGTTTTTATGGCCAAGTTATAAACTCTTGACTGTAAGCACCTAGAATAGAAATGCTGACATACCTGTAACTAGAGCTGTATGATTGACATCCCCATCATGTTGTAACTGACACACAAAATAAACAGGATAATTGTAGCATAGTTTGAGCAACAGAGCAATATGTGTGAGCATATTGTAACAGTTTGACAAACTGCTTGATCTGGATCAGCGATGTGATTCCCATTTATTGCCTGTCTTAACAAAAACCTCAAATCTTCACCAAAAGATAGAAAAGATAGTTTATTGCAACATACTGTGATTTTTGAACTGGAATCAAGAAACACAACACTATTTTGTGTTGATCCATTCACTGGTCCTTGGGAGCTGAGGAAAAGACACTGGGAGAATAAATGAATGAAGTAATCACTGTTGA